ATTTGGGCAGGGAATGAAAGGAAGGAAGAGAGGGTTTTACTGGTTTATTAAAAGGCTTAAAAGAAGGAAAATAACAACAAACAAAAAGGTTTTGGTTTATACACTCTTATTTTCGGCCATGGCTAAAATAAGAGTAGGAAAAACTTTATTTTGAAAAGGAAATATTTTGGATGTTTTGGGATGGTTTGGACTGAAATGGGAGTAGACCACAGAACCCTCGGGTCAAACGGAGGTTGTTTTGGCCTTTCGGGTTTAAGGACATTTGAATTCAACTAAAATGGATCATAATATTTGAATATAAGTCCTTTGGTTCTTATGATAGTGTAAGGCGTGAGTGAGAGTTTCATGGGGCTAGGCTCGGGTATAACACTTTGGAGTCAATATTTTGACTCCAAAGTTAACAAAACATGGAGGGTGCAATTCAAGGGGTTGGTGTGGTGGATTTGGGGCGGGCGGGCGGGCGGGTACCGGGGGTTAGGAGGGGTAGGAACCATCAATTTTACAAACAGAGCATCATATGGCCCACGAGTCATCCCAAAAACTCCCCTAAAAATAACCACATACAAAAGAGTACTTAATAGCATACCAAAATTAAGTTTAAGGGTGAATCTTCAAAGAGTAAAACAATCCAATCACATATATCTTGATAGCGTGCAATAAATTTAATAAATTAGAGGGTTAAAAAATTAATGAAATTAAAAAAATATATCAAAACAAGATTTATATACTATTGGGCCAAAATTTGGCTCAAACAAGCCCAAAAGAGTAAACCCTATAGTGAGTCCTATAGTGAGTGAAGTATTTATTTGTCCGAACAACTCCCGGTGGATTAACAGCCGCCAATCACACAGGGGCGTTTCATTGTCTTCTATCGATAAGTACCCAGCAACAACGATGACACCAAGAGAGGATGGCGGCTCCTCCTCCTCCATTGATGTCTGCATGATTCAGGTTTGTCTCTCGACACCCACAACATTTTCCCCGCCTCCGCTGATGCTTTCGGGACGCCAAATGGAATCAGATATGGGAATCCGTGCATCCTAGCCTTTCAGTCGCTAGTCGCTACCTTATTTCCTACTGGACGACTAGTCGGCGACTAGTCCACGACTAGGCAACGACTTGATAACCATGCTCTTCTTTTAGTGACCTAAAATTGCCTTTTCATTTTTCTTTTGGAAAGTAATTGTGTGGTTTACATTGATTCTCTAATTTCAAAATAAATCTAAAGCCTTTTTTGTTGGAAAAAAGCACCAATTGCATTGGGAGGGATTTACAACAACAAAAAAATTACTTAACTCTATCATCTTGAGAGTTCATCACTTGACCATGTAGTTATACTATGGATGTAAGGGAACAATGATAGGCACATATAATGGTGGAAGAATAACCTGAATCCAGGAACCTTGAGGGGTTGAAGGGCATGGAAAGCATTTGCTAAAGAGGTCAGAGCCTGAAAATGATAAAACAAAACAGACTAAGAAACTAGTTAAAACAAATAACCTCAACAATGAATAGAGATTGGGATATCCACCTGGAAGTTTGCACCGTCAATAACTGGCTCTAATGAACAGAAATCCAAGAGCCAATTTATGAATAGTCTAAAATATGGCCTGGGATTAAAGGATGTCTTCTTTTCTTCAGAATCTTTCTGAATGAACTTAACAGTTACAGCAAGAACCTGAAATGAAAATATATAGCTTTACAGGTCTAGGACAAAGCAACAAGAGGTATGTTTTCCCTCCAAAATACACACCTTAGGCAAAAGGGAAAGTCTACTGACGCCTTGATCCACAGGATAAAACTACAAAAGAGCCCAAGAAGTGGAATTAAAAAAACAAAAACACGTTATTACTGATGAATAAGATAATAATTAAACTAAGTGTAAACAAATGAGAGGAAGATGGAGAGTACAGGGACAGACAAAGGTAGGGACTGTTGGACAGAGATACAAACCTTTAAAACCGAATGAACCAGTTTTGCATACATATCAATAGCAAGGAATGAGAGAGGTTGCAGAGTATGAGACTGAGGACCTGAACTAATAACCTCTGACGACAAGCAATGTGATACCGAGAGTACCTGGAAGAGACAACAGATATATAGCTCATCTATAAAAGTTTTAATTTTTTGTTTTCAACAAACCATTAAAATACAAGATCATAAACATTGACCATGAGCTGGCGGAAGAAGCGATCTGAGGAGTCGTCTCCTTTTAATAGGCCACTCTGGCGTAGTTGTGTAACATATTGGGCATACACAGATTCACTTGCTCCAGGAAGTTCGCATATGCGGTACCATTCAGCGAATAGCATCGAAACCTACAAAATGAATACAAATACAAATTAGGTTCAGATATTTAAGAAAAGTTTTTCTATTCCAAAAATTATGTGTAACCGAATATGAATAAAGTTAAGAAAATTATTCCAAAATTTCTGGTATTGCACCTACAAAATTGAAAATGAATACGAATACAAATTTGTCACTTTTCTATTTGATACAACCTGACAACCCACTTACTATATTTTAATTCAGATATTTAAGAAAGTTTTATCTGAATCTGAATACTAATACCTGCCAAAAAGTTGAATACGAAGGCAGAGTAATAAAGATTTGTATTTGGTGTGATTCAATTCGTTTCCGACCTTAATACAGGCTAAAACCATCATGTGAATTTAAGCTATAGCACTCACTTTTCTGTCTACCAACCTTTCTGTGGACCAAGAAACCAATGAAGCTTAGGCTTTATTGGAAAAAATCTATTTCTAGCCAGGTTAGCATGTTTGAACATTGAAGTTAATATGTGCACCGTTTAAAAACCATCCAAAACGCTAGCGCTGATGGCAAACACTATTCCCAAATGAAGCCTTACCCAACATCGCATCAATCAGTTTTAAAGTAGGTCAATACAAAGCAAACAACATAAACTATCCTTTTTACTGTATGTAATGATATATATATACAAGGGAAGAGATAAATTATGTGGATCTTGTGCACCCATCAAGTACACAATTCTGTACACCACCAAACTTAAGAAACACAAACCAGCAAATCCCACAGTTATATGGAAAAATGTTTAGGTTTGAAAGTGGAACCAATTTATTTTGAATATTCAACACAATACTTTTTCTAGTGGAAAGTTCAGAAATCAGTACAAAAAAGTAAAATTTCAGGTCTTGTTATTGATATTTTAATGACATTTTTTTCCATTTCACATATTGAAGGATACATAGAAAACAGTACGTTTGAGGTACTGCAAGGGTATACGTAAGAGCTATCCAATCAAACTAGACAAACTTTGACCAACAATTAATAAAAAATTACATTATATTAGGTTTTTGCAAGATAAATCTAATGAAACCATCTTTGTAAAAATATGAACTGTAATTTTGGTTTAATTGGTGATCAAAGTTCACCCATATTGACCGCAGACCTCAAAAAGCCAACTGGAAGAGTACTCTAGGAAGAACATGCTGTAGAAAAGAGCAAGGACACAGTCACACATATGGAGGTGTCCCTCCAATGAGATATAAACTGAAGCACTAAAAAATGGCATACAGTTTGAGACTTTGAGCAAAACCAAATCAAACTGATGTTCGAAATTGCGTATTGCGGTTTCGAGGCGTTTTCTTTTCATATACGCTTACGAAATTGCGTATTGCGTAAGCCTCGAGGCGTAAGCCTCAATTTTTAAATTGAAAAATATCCACAAAACAATTTAAAACTAAAGATCGAACATAATATATAACATAAATAATCCAAAAACATTAAAAAAAAAGTATATTGTCAAAGTAATACATCGCAAACACAAGTCTAACATGGAATAAGACATAATATTGCTCAAAGTGATGAGCTTAAATTGAAGAATTGAAAAAAAGTTCATCAGTGTCTAACAGCTTGAAATTAGGATCAAAAGATTAGCACAACAATTATCAAAAAATGAATAAAAAAAGAGATTAACAGCTTAAAAAAATGCATCACTATCCAACTACTTGACAAAAAAACACCAATTATAAACTCCAACCGTAAAAATGGAAAATTGAATGCTCGTGAAATTCATAAAATGATAACAAAAAAACTAATTAAATAAATTTATCAAGATAATAAGTTAATACTCCCTCCGTCCTATATTGATCTTCCCGCTTTGACTATTCTTCATTTTTAAGGGATTGAACTTTTGCACTTTGACTTCCAATTATACCCTCCCTTTAAAAAACCCTGTTGTGCACTGTACTAAAAAAAACTGGACGACACCAAAAAACCTTTGGAGCATTTGTAAAAGAAAAGATCACAGCCACACATTGCTTTGTTCGAATGATTCATTGTCACATAGGTACAACTACTGCAGATTTTTGGCACTAGTCTCAAAATCAAAACTGAAAACATTTTACAAATAGGAGGGGAATTTCTAATAAAGTCCACCAAAAGGCCATAGCCTATAAATATCCAACCCTTCTAAAATTAGAAACTCCACCCCCAAAAAAACTGCAGCTCCTGCCCATTATTCATCTCACATGCCTCATACTCACACCGTGCTCCGCCTCACACCGCTGCTCCGTCTCACACAGTTGCTCCGCCTCACACCGATGCTCCGTCTCACACCGCTGCTCCGTCTCGTTTCTGTCCTCCTCCTCCTCAACGAACTGGTCTTCATCCAATTCACTTCCAAATCCTTGCATGGGCTCATCCTACAACTCGCTTTCCTCATACTCACTGTCGGCAATGACCCAGCCGACGTTTGGAAGAGGATTGGAGTGAGATCCAGCGTCATCCGACTCACTCACCCCTCCTCTGTGCCTGAAGCGTCCAAATTTTGATTCTCTCTGCCCTCAATCCTCGGATTTTCAGTGTTCATCCCTTGGGATTGGGACTCACTTTCAGGGATCTGAGTTTCAGGGATCTGAGATTCAAATTGAAATTTCACAGGATCCATATGAGGAAGGAAGAGGTGTAATTCACAGAGACACGAAGAGAGGGCAAGGATGAGAGACGCAAGAGAAGGAAGAGATGGATCTAGGTTTAGTTTTAGAGGAGGGAGGTGGAGAAGTGTAAGAACGAAGGAGAGGAAGAGATAAGGTCAGAGGTGTGGGTGGTGAAGATAAAGGGGTGGCTTGGGTATGGGGTGGGTGAGTAATAAATGTTTTAACCTTTTAGGGGTATTTTAGTCATTACATGTGTATTTAAAGTGTGTGGGAAGATGATTTTAGGACGGGAAAAAAAGGGAAGTGGGAAGATCAATATAGGACGGATGGAGTAGTAGATTATAAATCCTCCGGCTATCATCCATCCATTCTTATACCATTTGCTGGAAAGAAAAAAAATCGTACCTGCTCTAGACACGGAAAATAAAGACGCACAAAAGATGAATCGCACGTGCTATCGTGATGGAGATGAATCACAGCTTGGAAATCTCAGCAATTAGGGTTGCAATTAAGGTCATCGACAAGGTAATTTTAAAATATATACACTTAATTGGGATAATTGATAACTTTAACCTTTGATTTCCTAACACGCTCAATTGTGTATGCCTCATTGTGCGCCCCAGTGCGTACGCCCCATGGCGTAAGCCTTTAAGAAAATTGCGTAAAATGGCTAATTGTGTGAATTGGGATTCGCACCAGGGCGTTATTTTCTGGAAAAAGTTTCATTGCACGCCTTGAGGCGGGTTTGGGTTCCGCCTTTTCAAACATTGAATCAAACAAAAATCAGAGGGAAAAAATTATTTTCGATACTCCATCTAGTAAATGTATTTATCGTAACCCAAATTTTAATGATGTTTGCTAATGGTGACCCAATTAATTTATGAAGACAATTAATTTCAACTTTCAAGATACAAATTAACAAATATTCCCCTCGTCTCAGTATGTTCATCAAGCTTGACTTTTTTAAGGCAATTTTAGCAAACTTTAATTGCTAATTAAAAAATGCATTGAATGATAGAAAAAAATGGGTTCATAAGATTGTCTTGCAAAATACACCATTCTTCCTAAAATGAAGTTCCCATTTTCCTTTTCAGGGCATCCCAGAATTAAGTTCTTATTCCATTTAAGGAAAGAAATTAAAGATTCACATTATTTTTGTCCTCTATATAAACTTCCACCGCACAATTTCAATTTTTTCTTAAACTCTATGGATACGCAAATAGGAACCTCTTTTTGGAACAGAGGGAGTACTAGATAAAATTATTGTATACCTGTAGTAGTATTTCTCCTTATTGATTTTCTTATATTAAAACAGGTAAATGTTCACCTTGGAGAGTGAAAAAGCAAAGTGGAAGAAGTAAAGAACACACCAGGATGGATCTAACATACTCCCTCCGTCCGGAAATGTTTTTCCCATTAGACTTTTTACGGTCTCCAAGATTGCACTTTGACCACTAATATTGGTGGAATGCCTTGAATTCTAACCTATTTGACTAGTCAACAATGGTTGCACCTGGCTGGAAAGTGGCTGGAAACCAGCTGGAAAGTGGCTGCAAACTGGCTGGAAAGTAGCTGGAAGGAGGTCTAGACAATTGGGCAAGTGGGTTGCTAGTTGGTGAGGTGGGCCAGATGTATGACAGCAATATTCTGGGCAGTCAACAGCTCAGATCCCACTGGATTTAGGCAGCCAAGTTGGCTGCCATCTTTCCTATAAATATGTTCATTTGTAAGGCATTCATATATAGATCAGTCACCTAGAAAAATCCTCTGTAATCTCTCTCCTCAATCAGTAAAAGCTCTCCTCTCTTCTGTTAGGTGGACGTAGCCAACATATTGTTGGTGAACCACGTTAAATCTGTGTGTGTTTGTTCTTTTGTCTCTTTATTGTTTGTTATCTTTCTTACATCCGTCATAACAAATTGGTATCAGAGCTCGGGTAATTGAGGTCTGTAATCTGGTGAGAAAGATGTCTGCTTTG